GAGAGAGAGAGAGAGAGAGAACTCGCGGGACACCAGCAGTGAGCAACACCGGAGCACCAGCTGGAGAAGAGCTGAGAAAACTCCGGGCAGGAGTGCGGGCAGAATAGAGCCACGGCAGAAGGGTGGCAGCTTGACTCAATCTCTTTGCACCCATATGCTCTCCAAATTCTTTCAGAAACTTTGCCTGGATGCTTGTTCACCAAAGCATAAGAGGCTGGAAGAGATTTGGGAAGTTCTCAAAATTGAGCTGGAAATCATGCTTTGCTAAAAAATAAGATTAATTAACGGCGCCACCTAGTGTCGAAGAACAGACTGCTCCAAAGAGGACGGGTCAGAAAAAAACATCTGGGCGGTGGAAACACACTGATGTCCGTGGTTTCTTCTTCCTTCCTTTCCCCTTATGTTCTTCCCAAATTAACCTTTTCCTGCTTTGAGTCATATTTTATCTGGTCTCCCAACAAAAATAGCCATTATTATTATTTTATTATTTGAGACAGGGCCTTGCCATGTAGTCCAGGGTGGCTTTGAACTCACTATGTAGCCCAGGCTGGCAGTGATCCTCCTGCCTCAGCCTCCCAGATGCTGGGATTACAGGTGTGTAACACCACGACCAGCAATAGCCATTAATTAAAAAAAAAATCTCACCTCGTTTCCAGGCAAAAATGAATAATGCTGTGTTGAATGGCACAGGGATATGCAAATCAGTACTAGTCTTTATTAAGTATAATTTGGAAACAACTTGCTTAGGGAAATTGTACATTTTTTCTCTTGTGGGTCATATGAATGAAATGTTTCTCTGCCTTCACAACATGTCCCTTGTTCTTGCTATTTCCTGGGTCAGGGTCAGTGAAGGATTTTTGTTTTGCAGTATTGGGAATTGAACCCAGGGCCTTTGCACTGAACTACATGTCCATTCTTTTTTCTTTTTACGTTTCAGACAGGGTCTCACGAAGTCCCTAAGTTGCCCAGGCTGGGCTTGAACTCGCCACCCCAGAGTGCTGGGGTTACAGGTGTGCGCCATCACACTGGGCAGATAAAGTACAGTTAGCATGTTGTAGTTTAACAACCCTAATTCACTCTCGAGCTTTACTTCTGTGAGTTTCTTTTTTTTCTTGGTAGGCAAATGTTAAAAACAAAAGGGGGCTTCTTATAGCTTCCCAGTGAGTGGTGTAGTCCATTCTGAGCAATGGTGTTAGTCATTTATTTAAAGGGAATAATCGTCGATGGTTGTATTTTCAAGGCAGAAGACGGAAGGGTCTTCCAGAAACTGGAGAAGAGTTTTGGATCTAATTCCTGCTTGAGATTGATTTTGCCTTTTGCACACTGGAGAAGCAGTGCAGGAGTCATCAGTGACAATGACTTCATTTTGTCCTTTGGTGACAAACTGGATCATTTAACTGAGGGGTTGGCCCGAAGCTCTTGTTCCGACCCTGATAGTTTCCGTTTTCAGTGAAGGTAACTAATGCATGAATGTAGGGGTTTCAGATGCTTTGAGTAGTAAAGAGTAAATACACCTTCTTCCATAAGGGCGACGGGTGTAGCCCAAACCCTCACCCTGAACGTGCAGGGAAACACAAGTGAAGCTGATGCCCAGCTATGGAGAGACCTGGCCCTGGGTGCAGACTTTTTCAATGCTCTCAAGTAAATCAAGTTGTTTAGAAATCTCTGGAGCCCGCTGGACTATACGAATGTAAGGCTTCGTTTTAGGCGCGGGCCATGGGCCTGGCAGTCAGTCAGATGCCGTTTGTACACGAAGACTTCATCCACAGTGCGCGAGGCTCCCGCTGCTACGTATGGCAGCGGCAGTGTGGCCTTGGAAATGTGCCTAAGTGGCTCTACAGGCTTGCAGCTATTTTTGTTAGAAACAGAAGGTCCTGTTAGGAAGATAGAAGTCCATTTTGCTAACACGCAGGTCAAACAAAGCCAACGAGGCCTGGATATTCCCAGCTGCTCAATAAAAGATTCACTAAACTGCCCAGCTTAAAATCCCACAGCACTGCACTTTTCACAGGACCCTGGGACAGCACCCCCACCACTACTGTGGTGTGAACCCAGGGAGCACCGCCATGCACCCGAGCCCCTTTAATTTTTCCATTGTGACAGTCTTGCTAAGTTGAGGCTGGTCCCAAACTTGTGATCCTCCCCTCTCCCCCACACCCCAATCCACTCGAAGTGGGTGTACAGGCACACACCATGGCACCTGGCCCTGGGAAAGCATTTTAAGTCAAAGCACACAATTAAAGGCCGTGTGGCCTTCGTACAGGTGGGCACTTGCCCCCTTGACCTTTACATCCCGGCCCACTTTGAGGCATTCTAGGCTCATGACGTGGTTTCCAAGATTCGACTGTCTTCCTGCGCTATTTTATGGGATTCTTTAAATCTTTTGAACACTGAGAACCCATGCAGTGCATTCCAGAAGGCTCTCACTGCTCCAGAATGAAAACTAATATCCAGGTATTAGCTACCACACGTCAAATGATCCAGTACCTGGCTTTGCTCCTGAGCCCGGTGCACACTCTAGGAAAACCTTACCCTTAGTCACATCCGTCAGCCTGTGGCCCGACGTACCGAAGAGCTGCTGCAGTGGCAGGTGTCCCATAGCAGAAACTGTTCTAGGGCCTTCACAGGTGAGGAACTGAGGTACAAAGTAGAATCTGGGGTTTCTGGGGTCACCGAAGAGCTCTCTTTGCTGTAGCAGGCTGTTTTTATCTTATCTCAAGGGTGAGTCTCTTACATAAAAGATACCAAATCTTTTTTGTTTTTTGAGACAGGGTCTTGCTATGTACAGTGGACCCTTGACTTACGAACTTGATCAGTTCCTAAGGGCTGGTTGTAACTTGTTGGTTTGAAGTCAGTACAGTTGAGATCTGGATGTTTACGTGGGTGCACACTACAGATAAGAGGCAGGTGAATCTTCATTAGCCTAATTAACCCAACTTGTGTCAGGCTGGTTGTAACTCGAGGGGCCGCTGTAGTTTATGCTCGCCTTGAACCTGCAGTGATCCTCCTGCTCCCACCCCCACAACCCACAAAGAGGAATCTAAGGAACTCTTCGAGGCAGCTTCAGTTTGGGTCATCTGGCTTGCTTCTGGAATGAAGGGATCGCTCTCCTGAAGTCACAAGCCCCTAGAACACAGATGTAAAGACCCAGCCATTTAATTGGGTGTTTGCAGGCAAACAGGACATGGAGCTAGATCCCAAGCCCTGAGCTGCAGACCCGGAATGAGGAGCAGCCTGGAGTTCAGGGAGTCAGAACTCCGGGTGAGGAGGCAGAGAGCGTGGGACCCACGCATTCCATTTAGCAACTCTGCCCATTCCCAAAACGGACCCCAAGAATCTTTCAAGATGAGGAAGAGGCAACACCTGGTTTTATAAAGAATGAAGAGCACCACACACTGCTTTCACCTTTCTTACAGTTTGGAGCCCGAGCTACCATATTCCCCCACGCACAGCCCTGTGCCCCCTGATTTTCATGGAAAGCCGCACAACGACTGGAAAGGGCTCTCATCAGGACAGGTCTTTAAGAAAACCCTCAGGTACACACTGATTTAATTGATAAGATTTTAATTTATAAGTTTAAAAAGCTACTTTTTTTGGGTTTTTGCTTTTTTTGTTTGTTTTTGAGACACGGTCTCTTGCTGTGTCACTCAGGCTGGCCTTGAACTTACTGTGTAGCTCAGGCTGGCCCCTCCCGCCTCAGCTTCCCAAGTACTGAGATCACAGGCTTGCGCCACCACACCTGGCTAAAACATTACACGCATTACTTTTTCTCCTTTTTCTCTTCTTTCTTTACATCACTCTTTTCCTTATCTTTCTCCTTCTCTTTGTCATCTTTCCTATCCTTTTTGCTCTCTTCTTTTTCCTGTCCTTCCTTCTTCTCTGCGTCCCGGTTGGCGATCTTGTTGTTGATGAGGTTGTGCAGGGCGACCACGGAGCGGATGAGAGAGGCCAGGTACACCACCACCATCTGGTCGTTGGTCTTCAGGTAAAAGGCCTTGACGAACTCCTGCAGGCTGACGTCGGGCAGCAGGTTGAAGACGTCCTGCAGCTGGTAGATGATCTGGTGGTTGATAGGCAGCTTGCCTGTGGCTACTTTTTCCAGGTAGCTCCGGATATCCAGCAGCTTGGAGTTCAGTCCCTTCAAACCATGGACCTGGTTAGTGATCCGCTGGGAGAGGGTGCCCACGGTGGTGTCTTTGATGTCCCTGTAACAATCCAGAAGAGACAGGATGGCATCAGGAAGCGTGCGGCCACACAGCTTTTCCCGTTCTAAGGAAACACCTATCTTTGCCGGAGGGGCAAGTTTTCACAAAATACGTATTAACTCTTCTTTGGAAGGGCTGGGGATTGAATCCAGGGCCTCATGTCTCCTAGGAAAGCGCTGTCATCCTCAGCCCTAAAATGTTAACTTCTCTATTTGATACAATTGTGTACAAATTACCCCAAGTTTGTTTTTATTGGGGGGGGGTCCATATTTTATGCTCGTTACATTGTATTTTTCAAAAGATGATAAAGCAAAGTTAAAATGGAATTTGAAAAAGACTGTTTAGGTCAGCAGTGCAGATCCGCCTGTGTCAAGGAGCTCTTTCACCTGGACGTGGTGACACACACTTGTCCCAGCACCTTAGAGCTGAGGAAAGAGGATCGAGAGTGTGAGGCCAGGTTGGCCACAGTGAGATCTTGTCTCAAAAACCCGGAGTTCTCCACCTCACTTTTCCGGTCCTACAAAGGAGAGCACTTTTCTCTGCCTGCGTTTCTAGGATGTTTGAGAAGCTTGTATCAGTCAGGAGTAATTTTCAGAACTGGGAGAAACCTTACTGGCTAATACACACTGACTTTCTCAAGTAAGGATTATACAGAGAGAGGCCTATAAAACAAAACCCACCCCAAGATGAAGATTCTCTGCGGAACTTGGGTTCTGTACCCTCAAGGAAGAGCACAGGCCCAGAATCACCCACACAGCCATCCCTGTCACATCACAGTGTTAGTCCTGGACAAGGCGTGCTCCAGCAAGTCACACAGCCTGACCAGGTGACTCCAGAGATGGCACGATCCTACGATCTCCATTAGATAAGGGCTGGGACTTGGTTCAGAATGAGGATCATCAGTGGACAGTCAGGACCAGAGCCCAAGCTCAGGTCTTCAGATGCCTGGTCTGGCCTCTCGGGCAGCTGTGGCCCGAGGCTGTGCAGGCCTCACCGTAACAAGTGCTCCACTCCCACTTCCTCAGCCTCCTCTGCTCCAATCTCACTGGTCACGTGTTCAAATGTTTTCGAGGTTGGCGTCCCATCCTGGGAGAAGAGGGTCAGCTGCAGTTATTTACTTCCAACAAGCAGAGTGACACATGTCCCTCTCACACTGTCTTTTCTACTGAGTGGCCCGCAGCAAGGAGGGGGTCAGGTTTACTGAGAGCTCCACCTTCAAGGCTCAGATCACGGCGGCAGTACTCAGGGATAAGGTCTGCTGAGGAAGTTATTAGCTTGTTCACATGTTGTAGTGGCTGCTAGACTGCTTTCTGAGGATTTGTTTTTAAAAGAAAAATACTGTTCTGATATTCCCTCAAGCCCATGCTGGGGTGGATGCTCAGGTACATCTCCGTTGATTTTGGGGGGGGCGGGGTACTGGGGATCAAACTTGGGACCTTGCTCTTATGAGGCAGGAGGCGGAATCACTGAGCTAAATCCCCAGCCCCCAGTTGATGTTTTTTCCTTGGCACTGGGGACCGAACAACTCAGGACACCTTGTGCTTGCGAGGCAGGTAGTGGCACCACTGAGCTAAATCCCCGGCCCCTTCAGTTAATTTTTAATGCATATAGTTCTTTCCAAAATGGAAAGAACAAACAACTGCATTTGAGGCAAGCTCATGTCAGAAAATACAACTTTTAACTGTTAAGTGTCCCTTGGGCCAAATGATACCAGCATACCAAAAACTGTAGTCAGAATAACTGGCTTCCTGGTGGTCTGAATGAACCAATGGATCTGCTGGGGGCTGTGGCTGTCTGATCTTCTGGGGAATCTGTGGTGGGATTTGAGAGACACTTTGCTCAGACACAGTGTCACAGCGGCTGTACTTTCCGCGAAGCCCGCAAAGACGTTTGTGAGAGGCTCTGTAGCCAGACTCATGCACGGAACACGGGAGCTGCAGGGTGCAGGGCAAATGATTTCACTTATGCCGAGTGCTGCAAATGCTGGCTGTTACTTTTTAATTTAAAACAGGGTAGTGAGAATACGACAAGGGACACTCTCTCTGCTCTGAACACTGGGAGGGTCGGGCCTTTAACAACCTGACAGGACCCTTGGTAAGCTTTCTAGCTATACTTCTTCTGTTTCTATTTTCTACCTGAAAACATCTGCTTGATTGGGGTGTGTTTGCGCGCATGCACAGGCTCAAATTCCTTTCCTCATGTGGTACGGTTAAACATTAAAATCAAGTGGAATAAAGCCATGGATTAAAAACATCATAACAGGCAATAATTTTAGATCCAAACTTCCTGGGGCTAAACAAAAACAGGAAGACAAGGTTAGTGTAAAGATCACGTTCAGGAAGCTATACTAAAATATTCTTTTCCAGATTTTAAGGATAAACAATATATATCTAAATCCCCAAACAGAGAAAAGCTATATTCTGGCCACCTTCACTTTTACACCCAACACAAGTCAGGCGTCAAGCCATCACGAAGATGGGTCTCAGTATCTTGTTCTCAGCACCTCCGACTTAACTCTTTGACAACCCAGGGTCTGGTCTGCAGGGGCTGGAAATCTCTGGGGAGAAGGGACCCTGGCATGGAGGACGCTCAACAATGGCTGCTGCAGAGGTTAGGAGCAAACTCAGCAGACTGCATTTCCTTTGCCCAAACACCTGTGAGCTGTCATCTGACTACTCTAGGCTTTGATTTCATTTGTGAAAAAGGATTTTAGATTTCTTCAGTCCTGTGTATTTCTAAAATCTGGTCACTCAAAAACTCAAGGGGAGGGTCACGGATTTGGCTCAGTGGTTCTGCTGCCTGCCTCCTAAGCGCAAGGGCTGGAGTTGGATCCCAGGTACCAACCCTCCCCAAAACAACAACAAAAAAAACAACTCAAGGGGGAAAAAAAAACTTAAGATCACACTGTCAACAGAAATCAACCACCTTCTCTTCATTAAAGAGAAAAAAATTGTTGACTTGGAAACGGATCAAGAAACAATTGCTCGGTCAGCTGCAAGTCTAATCTGGGCTCACAGCAAGGTGACTCACATCGTGAACTTCCTCCACGGAAATGTACGCTTCTGTGGGCAGCCCCAGGTCCTTTGGCTTCACGTCAATGATGACCAACACCTGGCAGAAGGACACAGCTTAGCAAGCCACTTTCCACTCCACAAAAAAGCGGTAATTTCAGCTATTCTTCTAATGATGACTGCAGCTATTTCATTCATTTAATCAGAAAACAGAATTTTCAGCAAAAATGAGTTCATGTTTCAAATTAGCCCCTCATTTGCTCCAGTCTTCATTCCCTTCCACTGAAAAGCTCGGAGGACACGCAAAAGGCAATCAGCGAAGTCAGCCAACATTTCAATCCCGACTCCCCACCTACCAGACCTGCTCACACAGCGAAACTCATTTCTCATGTTTGCAAAGAGGATAATTACTGAGAGGGTTATGTCACTCGCGTATCTGGCAGTTAGCAGGCATTAACTATTACTTCCTAATTAATCTATCAGGTAACTGCACAGATACTACACATGAACACGGACACTTACAGAGGAAAAGCAGACACCTGACTCACGGCCCAAACCCTTCTTAGGGTGCCCCTGAACTGGCCGGTAAGGAAAACACGTTACTCAGAGAGCACTTACTGAGTTAGGGCAGTATCTCTTCATCAGTTCATTGATGGCGATGTCATTCTTATGCAGTTTAGGGCCTGTGTGGTACCACCCTACTATTCTTTCTCTGGCTGGGAAGGAAAACATTAAGTTTTAGTTGTTTCATGGAAATGTATACAACTTAAGAAAATATGTGTATTAAGAGTTAAATTCTCTTATCTTCTTGAAAATTCTAGACATCTACTTTAAACCTTGACATACTTATGAAATCTAAAGCCCAAAAGCAGATTTCTCAGGAAATAAGCAGTGTGTTAGCCAGGTGTGGTGGCACACACCTACCCTCCCAGTAGTCTGGGAAGCTGAGGCAGGAGTGCAAGCTCCAGCCCAGGTGAGGCAACTTAGTGAGTCCATCTCAAAAAAAATGTTTTAAAAAAGGGTTGGGGACATAGCTCCGTGTGAAGGTCCAGGGTTCAATCCCCATACTACACCAAAATTTAAAAGCAAACCCCAAAGCAGTACTGCCTATGAGCAAGAGATATCTATTATCCCAGACCACTTGAAGAGACCAGGCGTACACAAAACTAGAGAACAATTCCCAGGCACCTGTATAAGCACATGCAAGTTTCAGGTCACATATATACGGCAACTGAGTGTTGGAGGAATAAACATTGCCAAAGCAGTGTAGTTTCTGTGATGAAAAAAGTGATACATGGCCGGGTGTGGTGGAGCACGCCTGTAGTCCTGGCCCTCGGGAGGCTGAGGCAGGAGGATCGCTGTGAGTTCAAGACCAGCCTGGGCTACATAGTAAGTTCCAGGTCAGTCTCAACTACACAGTGAGACCCTGTCTCAAAAAACAAAAAACAAACAAACAAAATAGTGATAAGTGCTGGAGGTACTAAAGGTCTAGCTCTTTGCTCTTTTGCTGCAATCAAAGAACACAGCTGGACTTGTGACCTTCAATTACTATCCTAGTTTTCATTTAGTCTAGCTCAATCCTCTATTGCCACGAGTCTTACTTAAGTCTCGCTAAGGGAAAAGGACCCTGACATTAAACAAAGAAGAGAGTGGTAAAAACAAATACATACACACATACCCACCCCAAAGTCATGCCATAATGATGTATAAGCAAGGCAAGACTTACCGTTGACTTTCTTAAACATTCCATACATGTTTTCCAAATAATCATGGTCTAAAAACCAGACAGAGTCATCTTTGTCATCTTCATCAAAAGGGACTAAAGAAATAAAACAAACAAACAAAAAAAAACAAATTAAGATTTAGGTTAGGGTGTGAGCTAGAAACCTAGAACACAGACCTCAAGTAGTGGTCCCTAGACCAGACTTGACTCACTTTGTCTTTAATTTGTCCAACACAGTAGTAAATTTTGTGTTGTCTTCATTCAAAGTTAGGAGAATTCATACAAAAATTTAGATTTCTAGCTTCTCCTAAAAATCTAGAAGACCTGGCACCCGCCTGGCAGTCTTTAAAAAAGGACAAGGTGCAGTTGGCTAATATCCCCATCGATTTGTAAGTGTTTTCCATTTGGGAAATTACATTACAGGCCCGTCCTCTCAGACACCAGGTAGGGACCTCTAGTCCAGAAGCCAGACCAGCAATTACTTTGTTTCTTCATTGTTGCTTCTTTGATCATAAAAGCAATGCATAGAGCATGAAAGCAAAGTTCTTACACACTGGCTGTTGCTATTACACTCCAACAGCAGAGCAGCACAGGGCAACGTTACCACAAGGCCCCTAAATTAAAAATATTTACAGTCTTGTCTAATGGGTAGCAAGCATTTAGGTTCCCTTTCAATATCTTAGCAATTCAGAACCTTTGGGCTGTGGTAAAAAAATGCTAATCAATGTTTTTTATATTTATTTTATTTTAAAGTAAACTGACAGGGCCAGGGATTTAGTTTAGTGGTGCTGCCACCTGCCCTGCAGGCAGAAGGTCCTGAGTTTGATCCCCAGTACCCCCCCCCACACACACACACGTTGACATTTTAAGCATGCTCAGATTTTTTCCTTTTTACCTGCAAAACTGTTGGATACATCAAGTACTTTCTTTTGCCATGACCCTAAAAGCACACCGACAACGCGCTTCTGGTTTCCAACCTTGCCGATTCTGAGTGAAAAAAATAGGCACAGATACAAAGACTCAACAATCAGATACTTATAGGCAAATATCCACAGTACAGCTAGAGTTTAGTTTACCTGGAACTCACCTCCCTAAATTAAATAAGGTTGGGTTATTTTCCAATATTAAGTGCGAGGAACTCCTAACTTCTTACTGATGCCCCCTAACCCTTTTTACCTACCACTGACTCACTGCAAGTAATGCAAGCTTGGAAAAAACTATCCTTTCCCGTTGTAGCTTTCCTTTTCTCTTTTTTTTTTAATCTTTGAATTTCTTCTGGGATAAAGATGTAGCAGTTTTATGCCTGGCTTCCAGGTTGCCAATTCTTTCCCAGAATATCTGCCCTATATCTACAAGCCTCAGCTGACCTATTCTTTGTAAAGTCTAGGAGTTTAGGAGGTGTTCTGACCCAGTGGTGTAAGTGTATTTACTACTTGCTGCCTCTCTGGCTTAAGGCAGGATTTCCCACACTTCAACGGAAACTTCTACTCCTGGGCTTTTACTTGGATCTACAAAAGTTCACTGGTCTTAAAAAATCCTACATTTCTTACGTGGTAAAACAGCTAGCAGTGTCTGCCTGCACTCTGCTTACTAGGTGCCTGAACAGAACCAGATAGGTGCTTGTTCCACTAGGACTCTAGACTCTTCATGGAAGAGGAGAGTTATTACCCTCTGTACAGCAGAAAAACCCACTTGTCCTGTGAGGCTGGGGTGCTTACAAGCAGCGGAACTGAGAGGGGACCCTGAACCTTACCCAGTCTGAGTGAGCTCTGCGGTCTGACTGAATCAGTCGTACAAAGCATGACACGAGAAAAGGGCAATTAGCAAGCATTGCTTCAGTAAACGTGCTGCCAAAGACAGCACAGCAAACGCGACTTCAGAGGCGCCAGATGGGTATTTTCAAATGCAACAATTATCTTGTAAAAATTTCTGAACACGTGCAACAGGTCTAGCGGGATGAACAGCTGAAAGAGGACAGGTTGACCGACACAGCAAGCTTACAAGGTGACCTACTGGGATGTTTTCTCACCTTATTCATTAATTCCAAGATCTCCAACTCGTCTCATTTTTAGAAAGAAAAACCGGCCACCTCATTTACATTTATTACCGTCAAACCAGATTCTCGCTTACAAAGAATCACGGGCTGACAGCACTGCTCATACAGGAAACCATTCCGAGAGCTGAGCGCGGTATTTTGGAATATCGGTACGAATTTCAGAATTTCGGAATATCGGCATCTTACAATATCGGTATTTTAGAATATCAGTATCTCAGAAAATCAAATATCGTTATTTCGCAATTTCGGCATTTCAGAACCTCCGAGTATCGGCGTTTCGGTGACGGCCTCCACAGGCACTCAAGCGCTTTCCTACGATACAACGTCGGTACAAAGATGCAAGGTCGGCACAACGTGGATACAACGTCGCTGTGTGCGCGAGCCTGGCCCCCCGGGCAACAGCATCATGCAACGTCGGGACAGCAGGCCTCGGAACGGTGGCGGGGTCGGGGCGGCTCCGGGCCCCTCGGCTTCACGACCCGAGACTG